GGTGTGAAATCGGAATCGAAGGCTGGAAAGCATCTATATTCTATATAGGTAGGATCGAGTGATAAACAAGCATTCTTCTTCCACCTTTATTTAAATCGAGTGTTGCTATATTATTATTTTACTTTGCACTATCAACATTTAAAAAAAAATTATTATTCTTTTGCTTCTTTGACTCTTACAAAGTCGACTAATGGAGATTTGAATTAATTAACCCATACACATCATTGCAATTTGTAAGCCATTATATATAAATATAATTATTTATGTACTCACCCGTCTCGCCTCGTGCAATATTCATAACATTTCAATATCCTAGTTACAATAATAAAGAAAAACAAATGTAGTAACATATTCAAAATCATCTCAAATTCTGATAAGAAATACAATAAAATTCGAGTTATTCTTCTCACAAATTAACATTCATTTTTAAATATCAGCCGTCCACTTTGATACTATTGAAATCACAAAAAGGGTTATTAATCCACACTAAATTAGGCACTAATGACGATTGTACTATTAGAACTGATGTTGGCATCTTCTTTTATTTAATCAATTTCTTCCCCAAAGAAAACAAAAAGAATTATGGACATCACAGGTAGGTTCAATGGAAATAGAGAGAAGGGTACTTTCGTCATTCTCACAAATGATGGCTCATTGACAAACTACAAGTCCACACGAGGGAGGGCTATTAAAGAGAATTCACGAGGTGAAGGTGGTGCGCACGTCACTGGTGAGCGAGCCCCCACGCGTTTGTCGTCACTCTTAAACGAGGCGAAGCCTTAGCCAAGGCAGACTCATTCTGTCTGCAAAATTTCTTCTCTGTTTCCATTTCCGCACCTTCACCGCTCTTTCTTCTTCTTCTTCTTCTTCTTCTTCTTCGTCTTCTCCCCTCATATTATTTGTATTTTCTCAGAAAGTAGCACAATCATATAAAACCCAGAACAAGTCAGCTACAGTTTCTTCTTCCCTCTTTGCAATGACTTGCTGATTGTTTACCAACAAAACCTTGTGTTCGTAAGAAGTCGTAAAGAGACTAAAAAGAGAGTGCCTTTGGGATTTGGAGTAGCAAATGGGAAACTGCTTAGATTCTTCAGCTAAAGTAGACACAGCACAGAGCTCCTTTGGTACTTTGGGTATCTTATAAATAATTTACTATGAAAATTACCTTATTTGTTCATATTTCTGAATGAACTGGTCTTGTATTTTGATGGGTTATATTTTGTTGTTTCTTTGATGGGTATATTTTGATGTTCTTCTGAGAGTCTTTTTTGGTTTAAAGTAATGGAATTTTAGCAGGTTTGGTTGTTTTTCACTGGATAGAAAGTTGTGTTCGTTTTGGGTTCTAGGTAGCTCGGTTGAATAAGATCATTAGCATTTTTGGAGCAACTTCTGCTTGGTATTAAATGAAGTCTCTTTCTTTGTTTAGCTCCTGGTTTCATTTTTTCTGCGCATATTCGTAAATGGAAGATCTGTCTCTCTTTTTTAAAAAAAAAAAAAAAATTCCTAATGAACTTTTTTTTCCCCCAATGAATCGTCGATTTTTTCACTGTCATTTATAAGTTTTTAATCTTTATTTAGCCGTTCCTGTTACAACCATAGGATATTTTTCCCATTTAAGGAGAATATAGGAACACGTTGAAGACAGCCTTATAGAGTTTGTCATTATTTGGTAATGCTCAATGCACTTTTGGTAATCTCATTTAGGCTCATAATTGTTACATTTTTCTCAGTTTGCTTTTGTCTAAAAATGGGGTCAATCTATGAGAGTGAATTTTGACAATTATTTTCGTTACTATGATCATGTGAAGGTTTAGCTTTAATGGCACGCTAAACTCTCTAAAAGCAACGACTTTAGTAACATTCGGGGTCTGATGGGAAAATTATGGAGGACCTTTGTGCCAAAAGAAAGGTGTTTTTATGGTCCTCAAAAGATGCTTAATTTCAGATGTCTTTTGTGAGCCAGTCTAGCTTGTAGTCTTCTTTGAGATCACCTGATAACTTAAAACTCTGTACGTTGATCTACCAGTTTACATAGTTGTCCTCTTAGAATCCAATAAAAATATTATACACTCTTAATGTTTTCAATTTTGAATTAATTTGCAACATACTCTTGAAGATTTGTACTACATATGACATTTCTTGAGGAACGATCTAATTGGTGTAGGCCTACTTTTGTTTTTCTCTCTCAATTTACTAATTGATTGTTGATTACCAACTACTTCTCCTGTCAGGATCAGGGGTTTCCAAAATTTCCAGCAAAACCAGCCCTTCCTCAGCTCCCTCCCGCTTGACCATCCCATCATCTAGTGAAAGGAGCAATGGTTCAAGTCTTCCTACCCCAAGAACTGAAGGTGAAATATTGTCGTCTCCAAATTTGAAAGCCTTCTCATTCAATGAACTAAAGAATGCCACCAGAAATTTTCGCCCTGACAGTCTTCTCGGTGAAGGAGGATTTGGTTATGTTTTCAAAGGATGGATTAATGAACACACATTGACAGCTGCAAAACCAGGGTCCGGAATGGTTGTTGCTGTCAAGAAGCTCAAACCTGAAGGTTTCCAAGGCCACAAGGAGTGGTTGGTAGGTTTCTTCTATAACAATTTTCTGTATGTGTGTTGTGTATAAAATCTCATGTTTGGCTTATTTACTGATAGCCAATAAATTTCAGACAGAAGTAAATTATCTTGGCCAACTGTACCATCCAAATCTGGTTAAGCTAATCGGGTACTGCTTGGAGGGTGAGAACCGTCTTTTAGTGTATGAGTTCATGCCGAAAGGAAGCTTAGAGAATCATCTGTTTAGAAGTAAGTGATGTATCCCTCTGATGTTAATAATTCCCCCCACCCTCATCTCACAATTGTTTAAATTATCTTGAAGTTAAACTTTTATGCGCATTTTCTTTCAAGGGTTTAAATCTCAAACAAGGTTGCATTTGCAATTTTGAAGAAACTCCTTGGTTTGGGCTTGAAACCTATGTAATGTTGAACTTTTACATTTGTTTCACAGGAGGGCCGCAACCACTTTCATGGGCAACAAGAATGAAAGTGGCCATAGGTGCTGCCAGGGGCCTCAGTTTTCTTCATGAGGCCGAATCACAAGTCATATATCGGGACTTTAAGGCTTCCAATATCTTACTAGATTCAGTATGTTGAACAAAGAGGACACTAGTTCATCCCTTTAGCAGTTATGCCTAAATATTTTATGATTAAATTGGATAAATCACTGACGTTATGGTGCATGGGGGTCCAGGAATTCAATGCGAAGCTTTCTGATTTTGGCTTGGCTAAGGCGGGCCCCACTGGTGACAGGACTCATGTATCTACTCAAGTCATGGGTACTCAAGGCTATGCAGCACCTGAATATGTTGCTACAGGTATGTTTAATGTCTATATTAAGTATTGTTGCTATTTCACCTTTGAACAAAGTTTGCATTGAGGCATCTTTTTATGGCCATTTCACCAAACTTCCCATAGTCCGGGCTGGTCATCTCTAACACTTTGATTAGAGGAGTCACCTTGGTGCCAGTTGACTAATAATTAGTGATCATTTGCAAACTTTCTGTTCAGGTGAAAAATTAGGGAATATAGTAATTCTCTGGACTGATATCTAAATAGTGCGATTTGATTTTTGATATTTGGAATTTACTCATCTATTGATTCAAAAGGTCAAGAAAGAAAAAAGTTAAGCTTTTGAGTTGTATCTGGGAATAATTTCTTGGTAGAAATTTGATTTATTCTTAATATTTGACATTAAGATTTCTTCAAGGTGGAACTTTTGTAAAAATGGGCCCTGCATTTATGTGCAAGCCATAGTTGTGGCGGAAACAATACAAAGAATCTTGAGTACTTGGATTCACTGTGTTCACATCACATAGTAATGCTTCTTTACTTGGCTTACACCCATTTTCATTGTTTTAACAGGTAGATTGACTGCTAAAAGTGATGTGTATAGTTTTGGTGTTGTATTACTGGAACTATTGTCTGGACGGCGAGCTGTCGATAAAACAAAAGTTGGTCTCGAGCAGAATCTTGTAGACTGGACAAAACCATATTTGGGTGACAGAAGAAAACTATTTCGGATTATGGACACTAAGTTGGAGGGCCAATATCCCCAGAAAGCAGCCTTTACAGCTGCTACTCTTGCTTCACAATGCCTATGCGCAGAATCTAAACTTAGGCCAACAATGTCAGTGGTATTAGCTACGCTGGAACAACTTGAAGCCCCAAAAACTGCAGCCAGAAACTCTCAATCAGAACAGCAGACGCTTTCTGTTCCTCACCGGAGGTCACCAATGCGACAACACCATTCTCCTCTCAATATAACACCAAGTGCATCCCCATTGCTATCCCACCGGCAATCTCCACGTGTGCGTTGACGGAGAGTCTCCTTTATGTAAATTACTTATTTGACTCCATAATTTGTTTACATAGCATCAAGTTTGGGCATGTAATTTGACACAGTTTTGAGTTATTCTGAGGTTACTTCCACCTGTAATTCCAGAAGCTATGTAGCTATTTTGTAGTGGTAATCTGCTTGATGTTTATAGTGTATAAAGTTAGCCATCTATCAGTATATATAATTTTGCCGGGTGACAGACATTCATTATCCTGTCACAACTGCTGGTGTCAAATTATCTTGTTGCCAATTTAATCCGTTCAAGTACATGCTATTCTCTCTCTCTCTCTCTCTCTCTCTCTCTCTCTTGTTACTTATAAAACATTTATGCTTTGTAAAATATTGTTGTACTTGCTGTAGTAGGGTTTGCTAAAGCATTGGTTCTTTGATGAAGGCTGGGCATGACAAATCCAGATTTTTTTTAGGCAAACATGCTGGTTCAACTTTTTTCCTTGTGTACGTGGATGGTCTCTTAATCACTGGAAAAGGTGATGTTGAAAACTGAAACTAGCTTCTTGAAGCGGGTTCTTCTTAAAGAAAAATTCATATTAAAGATTTGGGTTCTCTTTAATATTTCCTTGATGTTGAAATTATGAGATTGGATGACGGCTTATTTTCCCATTGAAAACTTGTTCATGAGAATTATCATGATACTAGAATGCCAGCTAGCTAGTTACCAATAGAGCATTACTTGCAGCTCAATGACCCAATTCTACTAGTTGTATATAATGCCTGCCATTACCATATGACCAAAAGCAATTCAAGCAAAAACTATTTCCTTTGTTTTCATACACAATGTTGTAGCGTGACATTGTGGGATATAGCATTATCAAGGAAATCAGCTTACTATGCCTGACATCCATTTCGTCCGGGGAAAATGCTTCTGTAAGGAGGGCATGGGGTGAACGTAGTAACATGGACCGAGATCCGATTGCTGCTGCTGCTGCTTCTGTTTTCTTGTAACTGCTCCAAATCACCCACAACTTCAGCCATTGTTGGTCTGCTCTTGGGGTCTGAATCAAGGCACCGGAGGATGAGCTCAGAAAACTTGTGAGCTTCTTCCACAGGGAAGTTATTTCCAAGTCTCTGGTCAATCACATGATGCAGCTTCCGCCTGTTGCTAAGATATGGTTCAGCCCACTTAGTTAGATCACCCGCCATCCCATCCGAGTATTTCTTCACGGCACAGGAGCCTGACAAAATCTCCAAGAGCACCACACCAAAGCTGTATACATCGGTTTTGAGTGTCACATGCCCTGCAAAAATGAAAAACACATTACCTTGTTTAGGACTATGAAATGTCCGGCATGCCGGCTGTATACAATGTCCTCGTAAAATAACTGGTCAAGCAACCAACACGTGAAGTACGAAATGTGAGAGATGCTGTATACACCGGTTGTACGTAAGGATTCTTATAATTAATTGCAGGCTCCTCTGCCCTTGTAGATTTTGGTGTCTGGTTGAGTACCTGTCCCTATGTATTCAGGTGCAATGTAGCCTTTGGTGCCAAGAATCCTTGTCATTACATGGTCCTGGCCATCTCGGGGTCCATATTTAGCAAGGCCAAAGTCTGAAAGCTTAGCATTGCAGTCCTGCAGTGTTGGTTAATAATCATCAGGTTGATATATAGCCACAAAAATAAGGTGAACACAGCTTGGTGCCCTCATCAGAATCTACTTGTTATCTTATATGTCAAGAAACATGAGTGACAGAAACTCACATCATCCAACAGAACATTTGAAGCTTTTAGATCGCGATGAATGAATGGCGTCTTATGAGTGTGAAGACAATTCAGAGCCTTGGCCGCCCCAAGTGCTACTTTGATTCTTCTGCTCCAATCTAGTTGTGTAGCATTTTCTGTTTATGCCAATCAACTCAACTTTAGCTCAATAACTTCCTTCTAAGCTTAACTCTAGGCTCTATTACATGCAGCCAACATAATATGTAAAAAAGAAAACACAGAACTTTCTTCTTCTCTCTCTATCTGAGTGCTGTACCTGTCATGAGTTGGGCCTCCAAGCTTCCTCCGCTCATATACTCATAGACCAACATTCTGTGCTCACCTTCGCAGCAGTACCCTATTAGCCTCACTATGTTTGGATGGCTTATTTTGCTCATAAATTTCCTCTCATTCTGCAGGCATAACATAAACCTCACACACAAGCAGACAGAGAGGCAGAGAGAAACTGTGAGAGTTAAAGAAATAACAAAAGCTGACCTCCCATTGTTCATGGCCTTGTGCTCCAGTCTTCCTGAGCCTTTTGATAGCAATAGGAAATCCTTCGCTTGGTTTTGCAGCAGAGTTCATGTTGCAATAACTGACATACCCTTTGTAGACATCGCCGAATCCGCCTTGCCCGATTAAATTCTTACTGCTAAATTTGCGTGTGGCAGCTTTCAAGGAACTATAACAAAAGCAGTAAAGCTTGTAATCCCGGAACACTCCTTCCTTCCTAGTAACCGTCTCCGAAGTCCAATTTTTTGGGCTTGGAGTGGCTGTATAACCATGCCTTGTATTTTTACCAATCTTTTCTGCAGCTACATACACACAAATAGAAAGAACAAAATAATTAGCAAAGGAAAAGAAATGACTTTTAAAATAGATACAATAAGTACCTATATCTGTGTTTGAACAGACGATTGAATTCCTTTCTTGAAGTGGTAATCTACGTCTTTCATGTCTACTCTGCTTTTCTGTCACAAACCATTTTATATTCATTAGAGAAGTAATAAACACAAACATTTTTTCAGCAAAAAATGGACATTTTTTTAAGTACCTTGACCTTGTAAGAAAGTTGGGGAAGCAGTTGGAGCTCTCTCTTCAACTGTTCCATTAATCTTCTTCTTGGGGAGAGAAACTTGTAACCCAATGTCCCCTTTACCAAATGACAGAGGAAAAGATTTTCAAGTTAAAAACTTCATGCCTTAAATATTCTCATCATAATGATCATAAGATGAATGCAAACAAACCAGTGGGAGGCCTTGGAATAATGGCAACTGGTGACTCTGGCACTTGAATCTTTTTCCTCAAGCAATTTCCCATCACCCCAGTTGTTGATGACAATTGTGGTAGAAGAAGCAGAACCGAAAGACATTAATTAAGGTTGTGAGGAAAGAGATCAGAGACTTTGGTTAATTATATTAATGACAATGAGGAACAAGGTGCAGTAGAATGATAAACACGATTATAATTAATTAAAACTAAATACAACCTAGTTATAGATGATCTGGTGATGTGAGCTAGGTGGGTAAACTACGTGCGGGGTTTGAAGTTATTTCGATGATTAAGGACAACGCAACACTGCTGCCGATTATTACAAGGTGATCAAGTTTGGAAAAAACTATGAAATCTTTTCTCTTGTCACAATTTGTCATTAGGAAATGTGCACATGGTTGCTCTATGCCTCTATCAAAACAGCTTAGATTGATGATTGATATTGATCCTAACTTCCTAATTAATATTATATTAGTGGTTGGATTAGTAATTAAATGGTTAATACAGCTGGAAGAGGTGGTCTGGGCGCAGCTTCTCAACCTGAGGGTCAAGATGGTGGGTGTAAAGACAAAAAACCGATTCTTCTAGTATTAGTAAAAGGGGATGAAGATTATAGTACACAGTCAACTCTAGTCAGCTTTACTTTTTTCATTTTCCCTTTTTTAATCAAATAAGCAAGGATTTTGTGCCCCGCGAGTTTGGGGTTTCTGAACCATTGAAGAAGTTAAAAACTTGTAAACGACACAAAAATATCTGGAAGTTCATGTGTCTCGTATATTAGGAATATAAAGGGGTATGTCGTTTATGTGAAGGAAAGGTCCTTTGTAATGAATGATTTCAACACATATATACGGTGTTGTTAAATGAACCTTAAAATTGACTGAGTACATTTTATAGTACCAAACTATTTATTGAATTACTAATTTAGCCTAATATAAAATGACAAAAAATGATATATTGAATTGTGAAACAAATATAATTTAAATAAGTACACCATATTTACCATATTCAACCCTAATCAAACGTAAGCGAAAAACACTACCCAAAAACATATCTATAAGGCGTATTTCTGGATTTTGAGTAAATAATTTTGGTTTTTTAAAGTAAATAATTTTAAAAAATAAATAAAAAATCAAGGAAAATGTGTATGAATGAACTCACACAAGAACCCAGATGACAGCACCAAGAACAGATAAAACCAATGCAACCTAAGCAAAAGGCAAACCTAGCAAGAAACTGTTGAAGAATACACAGAGTCCCATATGGGAAACTTAACAAAATAGAAAGTCTCATATAATAAGTAGTTCCACTCCTAATAAAATTGAGGTCTTTTGTATAAAATCCCACACTTGCTAAACAAGTGGTTAAGTTGGGGACAATATCGATGTTACTACTACTAGTGGGCTAAGGGTCCGTCCCTCTGAAATCTTAACATGGTATCAGAGCAGGCCGCCTGATTAAACCGAAATCAAACAAAAACCCCAAATTGAACCAAAAATCAAACAAACCCCAAATCAATTATTATTATTATTATTATTATTATTATTATTATTATTATTATTATTATTATTATTATTATTATTATTATTATTATTATTATTATTATTATTATTATTATTATTATTATTATTATTATTATTATTATTATTATTATTATTATTATTATTATTATTATTATTATTATTATTATTATTATTATTATTATTATTATTATTATTATTATTATTATTATTATTATTATTATTATTATTATTATTATTATTATTATTATTATTATTATTATTATTATTATTATTATTATTATTATTATTATTATTATTATTATTATTATTATTATTATTATTATTATTATTATTATTATTATTATTATTATTATTATTATTATTATTATTATTATTATTATTATTATTATTATTATTATTATTATTATTATTATTATTATTATTATTATTATTATTATTATTATTATTATTATTATTATTATTATTATTATTATTATTATTATTATTATTATTATTATTATTATTATTATTATTATTATTATTATTATTATTATTATTATTATTATTTAAAAAAAGGTGACCGAATGTGGAATTGGTTACACATGTGGCCCACTAAAAAGTGGTCACACGTGAGGAGTGTTAAAGAATACACAAAGTCCCATATGGGAAACTTAACAAAATAGAAAGTCCCATATAATAAATGGTTCCACTCCTAATAACATCGAGCACTTTTGTATAAAACCCCACACCTACTAAACATGTGGTTAAGTTGGGGACAATATTGATGTTACTAGTAGTGGGCCATCTGAAATCTTAACAGAAATCCAATGGCTACAACCTCCCATATGCTAATTAATCGTATATTAATTAATTAATTAATTAATTATATAGTAATAAACTCTGTTGAATATATTAGGGTGTATCACGGGTAGTTTTGGTAGTTAAATATGGTGTATTTAGTTAATTTTATATTTTGATTTAAATATTAGGGTGTACTTAGATCATAGAGTGTACTTAGTTAATTTTAAGGTGTTGGGGTCTTTTTCAGTCGGAAGGCTCTTCCTGGCTTGTTGATTCTCAGATCGCCATAGAGTAGGGGTTGAAAATTTTTGGAAGTTTTCAGTTGGGTTATTATAAGAGCTTTCAGTTCTGTTCTATTTTTTTTCCTCCTCCTTATTCACTTTCTGTTCTATTCTTCTTTTCTTTTTCTCTTGTTTTTTTTTTTGTTTTGGTCTTCTCTTTCAGTTGGGTTGAGAAACGCAACGCAAGTGGGAGGAAAATGATGGTGCTGAAAAAGCGAGGACGCGATCAAACTTTCATTGCCCCTTTTTCTGAGTTAGCGAGGACTAGGCTCAAAGCATCCCGAGGGAGAAGCAAGTCCCAGGGGAGTACTTTGTTTTTCTTCCAGCGACTGCGTGTTTGGTGCTGATGTTTCCGACAGCTTGAAGAAGAGTTGAAGATGACTTGCTGATGTTTCCGGCAGCTTGACGAAGAGTTAAAGATGACTTGCTAATGTTGATATGAGATTATATGAGTTTGGCATGAGAGCTTGGAGTGTGGGAGCTAAAGATCCACAAGTTTAGCAAATGAGAATGCATGTGCTATGGCTTGGTGTTGGATATGCTTGAGTTTGGGTGTTGATAATTTGTTGTTTGTGGCTATGGTGTTTATAGCTTGGAAGGAAG